GAGAAAGCACTTGTTCAATTTTCAAAGCAGCCAATTGACACATTTTAGAATTGGGGATTACAGCTTAAAATCCATGTGTATTTATGCTCCAGCAATGTTTATTTGTTTACTAGTGTGTATACTAAACAATATCACATGACCTATCAGATGATATTTCCAGTTTTAGTCCATTCTGGCAGCACACCAAGAAACCGTTGCAATGACATGGGTCCCTTGTGAATTGAATAACTTTACCAACATATTGCTTATGTAATTGGTAGAGTTATGGACAAGATACTAACACATGTTTCACATATTTATTTAAAATTTTAGAACCCTTTCCCATTGTTTAATAAGCTCTTGAAGTCAAAGGTACAAAACATTGCAACGGTTTTTTGGGGCACTGTACTTCTGTCCCCACTGTCCTTGCTCTGGCTAGACCTCATCGTTGACACACCTGACCACCTTCCCCCTGGATTCTCAGACCCACACTGGAACCTTTGGAGCCCTCATACTATCCCAACCCCATCAGAATCCTGACTCTCTTATTGTATTACCCCCATATCATTCCTTAGTTTATTAGAGTCACCCAACATTCCTCAGATGTGCAACTCCGGACTGGAGCCAGCCATAATTATGTCACTTGCCTGACCTTGCACTCCTCCCTCATCATCGACTTGTCATCTCTTACTTCCCTCACAACTAAGCTGCTTCCTTCAATTCTGTCATATCCATACCAACTCTGCCCAACCTCCAACCTACTCTGCCACTGTTCTGGTTCACCTCCAGTTCGTCCTCTCCCTCACCTCCACCATATCCTCCAGTATACTTCTGGTCCACCTCTGCCTCCAATCTCCAGTACCTTCTCTGGTACCCCATATCCTCATCATAGAAGTTTATTAATATTTCTATCTACCCAACATTACTATGGACCTCCTAGGACCTCCACCAACCCTGCAAAGGTTTTCCCATTATCCAATAGCTGTCGCTAATCCCACCCTTCATCTACCCACTCCACAGTGCTCAATAAGGCAATTCTCTCATGAGTTCACCAACCCAACAAGTGGGTAAGTCCATCTTGGGTTTTCCCTTTCTTCTCATTTGTCTTGTATTATGTATATAAGTCATGTACCGTAGTTGATGGCACTTCAGTGCAAAATTGACGACTAGATCCCCCCAGAGTTTGCACCCCCTCATTCTGAAGTTAAGGACCCAACACTAGCATTACTGAACGTTGGCACAGCGCTCCTCTCCGAGTTGCTGAGGCCACAGTCCCTCTGCTCATCCTCTACCTCTGGCCTCCCTTCCAGGGAAAGGTCCAGACATGCTTGTTCCCTCTTTGCCATGTTCTGACAAATTCAGTCAGCTAGCTCATTACCCATTCCTTGTTTCCATTTAGTCTTCAGGCTCCTTCCCCACCCTCCTTCAACCCAACACCTGGGCTCTCCATTCAGGCTGCTCACCAGACCTGCCCCTAAGGCCCTTCAGTACCTTTCCATACTACTACACCTTATATAGCTCATAGTTTAGTACTCTTGAAATTAAGGACACCCTGAGACATATATGGAGGCACAGTGCTCCCTTCTGAGTCGCTGAGGCCATGTCCTTCATGGGTCTTGTGCCATGTACAGACTCTGACAACCACCAGAATAGCTTCAGCTTACTGTGTCAGAACATGGCAAAATGTCAGGGCACAGCCTAACCAGCTACCCTGACTCCCTATGCCAGAAGGGAGTTGCCATAAGACGATCTGGAAAGATCTGAAGAATGCAGGTAATCTCGCTTAGCTCCCACTTCCTTTCTTCTGTCCACATGTCACCCCCTTCCCACACCTTGCTTACGATTATCTGAATGAATACTTATCTTTTCATGTCGTCATTCTATCAGCTATCTCTTATCTCATTGTAGCTGCACTCTAGTGGGTAGCAGTACCCATGTATATAACCTCTATCTCCACTGAGGGTGGCACCTCAGCGTTAACAACGACTAGGATTCTTGGGAACACCCTCATCATTGTGAACTGACATGCAGTCCCTGACACAAAAAGGGAACGAGCGTGTCTGGACCTTCCCCCAGAAGGGAGGCCAGAGGTAGAGGACGAGCAGAGGGACCATGGCCTCAGCAACTCGGAGGGGAGCACCATGCCAACGTTCAATTACGTTATTGTTGGGTCCTTAACTTCAGAATGGGAGGGTGCAAACTCTGGGGGGATCTAGTCATTGATTTTGCACTGAAGTGCCATCAACTATGGTACATGACCTATATACATAATACAGGACAAATATGAGAAGAAAGGGAAAACCCAAGAAGGACTTACCCACTTGCCAGGTTGGTGAGCTTGTGAGAGAATCACCTTATTGAGCACTGTGGAGTGGGTAAGCAAAGGGTGGGATTAGTGACAGCTATTGGGTAATGGGAAAACCTTTGCGGGGTTGGCAGAGGTCCTAGGAGGTCCATAGTAATGTTGGGTAGATAGAAATATTAATAATCTTCTATGATGAGGAACAGGGTACTGGAGAAGGTACTGGGGATCGGAGGTGGAGGTGGACCAGAAGTATACCAGAGGATATGGCAGAGGTGAGGGAGAGGATGAACTGGAAGTGAACTGGAACAGTGGTGGAGTAGGTCGGAGGTTGTGTCAGAGACTGGATTTTGTCAGAGGCTGGATTATTGTCGGAGTCGGAGATTGTGGCAGAGGTCTGTTGGAGCGCGCGCACGGATATGCGGGCGGAAATATGCGGCGCATCCGGAAGCGCTGTCCAAGGTTAGCAGAGTGGGATCGCGGCCTCAGCGACTCAGGTGGAGCGCTGTGCCCTGAGCTTGACGTTTGGGGGAGATCCCGTATTTACAAACTGACACTTACAGCGGACTTCAAACCAGACTTGTGGGCGGAGCGGACCTGTAGGAGGAGCGCGGACTCCGCGAGCACGGACTCAGAGGGGGGAAGCCCCCTTTGCAGAAGGAGGGACTCAGACCAGACAGGGGGGTACTCTAGTTGATTTCAGACTGGGGTCCCCGAAAGTATTTACAAGGTATATAAATAGGCAAGAGGGAATATAGAAAGGCCGGTCAGTCCGGCGCGGTCCGGCGCGGAGATAAGCGGGAATTGTCAAACTAAATAAGGACAAGAGCCCGGGAACTGGAAAGGAGGAACAGATCACTAAACAATAAGTGGCAAGGGTTATTGATGAATAACTGAATGAGATCAATAACCTAGTGCCAATAAAGAGGGGATCAAATGCCGATATTGGCAGGGAAGCAAACAATAAATGGCACTCGGCAAGGAATGAATGATAAGCTGCCAAGTGACAAATGGCCAGAGGAAAAGCAGAGGTCAGCGCGCGGCGCCGATACAAGTCCGCAAATAAGCGGGGTCGGTGCGGTGCCGACACAAGTCCGCGAACAGAAGTTGATCTGCCAGCACTGTCACACAAGGACAGCATGAAGGCCAACAGAGGTACAGAGGGGAGTGGGAGTGTTGACCTGACCAGAGGTGTCAAGGGCAACCAGAAGTGGCCAGAAGGTGCAGAGATGGGCAGAGGGTGCGGAGTGGGCAGAGGGTGCGGAGTGGACGGAAGCGGGGCATGGCTGTGACCACATAGCGGGAAGCGATGAGTGTGGTTCAGATGGAGACAAGGCAGGTGTGACTGAATGCCGGGAGCGCCAAGGGCTCAGGAACTGGAGGTAAGGTTGGAATACCGGCAGGGTCTAGGTTCTGATTCTTGGCCAAGTCTCACGCAGTAAGGCAGGGGGCCAGACATGGGGTTGGGGGCTGGTTAGGATGGGTTTCGGGTCGGCGGATTCGCCTATCGGCATTGGTTCGCCGCTGACGGAGCCCCGGGATTTGTCGGTCGTGACAGGTTGGGTGTATGGATATGACATACTACCTAGCACCTGGAACCCCCCTAGTTGAGCCCATGTCTTCACCGGAACTCCAGCATTTGACAGTCAACAAGGGTGCCAGAAAAATGGCACAGCACTCCACTCACTGCAGCCAAGGCCGTCATGAACCCACCTGGAGGCTGTCCATATGCTTCCAAGGTGGGGTGTTGGATGGAGCTTGAGTGTCCAGGTCATCTGATGGTAGGTTGAAGATGTGCCAAAGGTAAGTCAGAGCTCTGGGGGTGATGAGGGTTTGAAGGGACTTGGCTTCAGTGACTCAGAGTAGAGCACTGCACCCATTGCATCCTTTGTGTCCCCAATTGTCAGGGGGGCTGGTGACAGAGGAACCAAGGTTGCCAGTGAAGAGGGGCCTGATGGCTGCTCCTTACTACTTAATAGCAAAGTGTCAGAGACCGGATCTGGGACAAAGGATGACATCCCTGAAACAGAGGGCTTTGGCCTCAGTGACTTATCCCAGGAGCGCTGTGCCTAGTTACATGTCTGTGCCCTAACTTACTGACTGGCAAGGGATTCTAGAAGAGGGAGAACTCTAGTCGATTTTATCACTGGGGTGTAACCTATCTACAAGTTATGTATATATAGTTACAAAGAGGGCAGGCCTGTGAATGGTGGGACCAAGTGGAGGGAGCTAACAGAGTTATAGGTTAGCTGACTGAATATTACCGATGAGTCAGGTTATGGGGGTTAGCAGAGTGACGACCCAGGAACAGAAAGGAGGGATCGGCCTGAAGGTAGACTTGCAGGGCAAGCAACTAAATTGCTCAGTGGAGGTGGGGGTGTGCTAGCAGACATCAGAGCTGTCTGGAGGCCTTCAGGGCTCCGTACTTAGGGAGGTGTAGGTAATATATTGAATTGAGGGGGTGATGACCATTGGGGGTGTTGGAGGGGATTGCGGAATATGGAGGCTCCAAGGTTAGTGATGAAGGAGTGGAGGTAATCTGGAAGGGCCGGAGGTGGTGGAGGGTGATGGCCATGGATGGATATGACACAAAGGTGTTAGCAAGGGTCAATCACCTGTTCACTCATTAGATTAGAGGCCCCAAAAGTTTCAGATAAACCTTGGCAAATTGGAGAGCAACTGGGGAGTCTGACCAAGCCCCCCAATCTTGGATTTCCACCAGAATTGACATTGGAATCCCATTACATTCTGATTTTGTGACAACCAGGTCATATGTACAGCACATGGAAAACATAGAACACACATGCATTATATCTCCTATGAATATCATGTTACACTCACATACTGCAGGTGAGGGACAGGAGCAACTGCACCAGGAAGATTAGAAACTCAGTGGTGGTATAAGCTTCTAAGGGTGGAAATCAAAATTATTGTCCAGTACTGCTGAGGTGGTCTCACCTGAAGTTTTGAGTTACTTCCTCAATGCTAGGTCGCTCTTCTGGGTCCCATTTGAGACATCTTTCAATGGTGGCAAAGAATTTATCGGGCTCATTCCATGTGAAGGGTGGTTCACCATTCACCACTGCATGGTGGACATCAAGGATCCCTGGCAATGTCACATATGGCCTGATGTTGAAAAGCACCTAAAATAAAATCCATATGGTCAAAAGGCATAAATAACCCCACATGTTGACAAGCTACAACCTGTCCTGATGCACAGCCAAAAGCCCAAACATCACTTTTTTTATTGGGTTTTTTCACATGGCAACTGAGGATCTCTGGGGATGTGAAACGTGCAGTGCTGATGATGCTGGATCCTTCTTCATGCATTGAGAGGTCAGAAAGTATGGATGACAGCCCAAAATCACAGAGCATAGCCATGCCCTCTGCATTAACCACAATGTTCTCCTAATGCCAGCTACAAAATCACAGGAGACAAACTACAGATAATGAGACATACCGGCTTGATATCACCATGAACCACATCCCATGAATGAAGATACATCAGGCCTTCAGACACATCCACAACCTGTGGGGATAAGAACATCATTATTGAGTGATTGTGGAGGACTGCAAACTTCCCAATTGATGGCGGTCAGCATTGGGAACCAGTTCCAGGTGCTCTAAAACATTCCCCCCTTCACACCACGCTGAAATCAACTTGGCACATATAGTGTTGTCCTCTTCAGAGTATTCCAACATCCATCCATAGAATACAACTACATTTGGGTGCCTCAATGTGGCCCAAGCTTTCACCTCACGCAGCAGTCTCTGCAGCACCAGTACAGATCAGTTATGGCTCACAGTAGATCAATACCTATACATACCTTACAAAACTTGGCAATATCCTTGCGAGATGAAATACATATTTCTTTCAGAGCCTTGATACACACGATATTCTGGAAACCTCCTGATCAGGTCTACAAGATTCAAAGAATACAGGATTTTCGCTTACTCCTTCAAAATCACCCCGATAAATTTTTGCAAAACTCCCTTGATTCATTAGACCCCGTCGTTGAATGACTCGCCCAGTGAGATCACAAGGTGCATCGACTTGAGGCAGTCGGTGCATCCAAGGAGGACGATGGATGAGAGCTGTCGATGCGACGGCAGGTGCGGCATGTAGGAGAGGAGACCACTGGGTCGGCACTTGCGCTCGTGAAAAATGATGTGTGTCCACAGCGACAGGAAGCATCGAGTTTTTGCGATTGGGCTTTAAGGAGGGGAGGCCTTCTTCCGAGCCGGAAGGTGAGTCAACGGGTTGAAGCATCCAACTCAAGTGCTCGTGATCATCGCCGTTCACATCTGGTGGGGGAGGAAGGGACTGTGCGGGTCGTTCTCTGTTGAGAGCGCTAGCAGAATTCATATCATGTTGAAGATGTGCGCTGGCTAAACCTGCCAGTATGAGAATTGTAAAAGGAACATCAAAGTTATTTGTCCCACCTGGATGCCCCTCAAATGGGCAAACAGTGACACCCGTTGGAACGGTAGTAGTGGCTCCGTCACTCATTAAACTTGCCTCATAGATACACTTTGAAGCCGCTGTCAGCCTGACTGGAAACACAAACGAATCCAACGGATCCAGCGTACCGCAGCCCCCAGCCTCCGGCAGTCCGAACACTTCCCATCGGTAAGCGAGTCTCGGTCCTGGGTGCCGCAGCGATGTCTGAGTTGATCGTCAAGGAATTAGTCCTTATCCTACCAAGTTGGACGAAACGCCGTTCTTACTGAATGCGGCAAGGTTGGCACGAATTATTGTGCCGCTCTCGCGGACGCTCTGGACGCATTGGGCCTGTAGTTTGGGACATACGGTACGCAACGCTTTAGGGAAGAGGTAACAGCAAGTGGAGCGCTTCATCCGTGCCTATCGGCTGCTACCGTTATGCACATGACTCGTGCAGGCTGTGTCGGATTTCGTTGTAACGCTTTATGGGCAGTACAAGGGCATTATAAATTTATACGCAAAGTTATGAACTGCTGCCACTGTAAATATCTACGGTTTGGGACGAAAGTTCCTTGCAACGTTTTTCCGACACAACTAGTTACAGCGAAAACTGGTTTATCGGGGAAAAGTTGTGCAAGTGAGAACCCTGTTCACTCCGAAAATAGCAAAAAGGGGATAGACTTGCGTAAGCACGGTAATTATGTACTCCCCCGCTGTTGAGTTCCTAACAAGGGAATCGCTCGCTTCCTGTCAAAACATGTCAACAGAACGCGTATGAGAGGTAGCAGCTGGCTAAACTCGGTACTGGCATGATGGCGGACTAGGGGGCTCTGGGGGCTCCGGGGACTTCATAGAGCATCAATAATATGTGAGGGTGTGTGCCGTCTTGAATTACTAGCCAGTGACTTGCCTGATCTCGAAAATAGAAGATAAGGAAGTTGAAAGCCCCTCCAAATCTTCCCCCTCTTTGTCGCTGACATGCTCACTAACTTTCAGCTAGAAAAGATGCCCATACACCGTGTAGGCAGCCAACCTGCTACAGAGGAAGATGCTAACAGCGAGTACAGTGAACAATTCAAGCCAATATGTGTTACAGTTGCGCTTTCGGTGTCAAAGAAGGGCAAGAATGGGAAGGACAAGAAACCCGACACCGTCCAGAAGCAGTTTCTTTCTTTTTTTGGTGGAACCCCGGTAGCTTTCACGATACATTTTCATGTATTTGGGGTTTGTATAGGGAGGTAGGTCCCGTGGAGTAGATAGGTTTGTGGGAGTGTTGGACTGCCACCGTGGGGAAATGTGTTACGCACTGGCCGGGTGTCGGTGCTGTGTGGGACTCCCAGACCCGGGGGGTCCAGTATACCCACTAAAACCCCGGTGCTGTTGAGCCAGTTGTCCGGTAGTATGTCTTCGTTGTGAAGGTTCCCACTCCAGGTAAGCAGGACTGTTTTGGCCAGCAGGGCTTTCTGGCTGTACTTCCTACGGTTTGTGAGGGCAATGTCTTGCTGGAGCTTGTTGTTGAGGCCAGCTTTCAGGGCATTTCTTACTTCTCTTAGTGAGGTTTGTGATTGGCATCTATAACTCTGCGGCATCTGGTCTTCCAGACTTGCCATGCACATTCTAGGACTACAATTTGGTACAGTCTGGTTTCGCCCATCCTTACTTGACTGTTGGTGTTCATTATCCTGGTTAATGGGGTGGCCAATATGTGTGAGGTGTTTAGGTTGTTGGGCCATTCTATTTTCCAGTGATCGCATATTGCCTTGGATGTGGATCAAACCCAGGTGCTGTGATTGAGGGGACATTCAAAGAGTATGTGTGTCATTGATTCTGTTTGTTGGCACCCATTGCACTCACCACGGTGTTTGTAGCCTAGGATTTTATTCCAGTAGTCACTGGTCTTGAGGCAGTTATGGGTTAGTGTCCATACAAAGTTGCAGATTTCGGGGGAGACTTCTTTACACTTTCTCCCTAGGTTCTCCCAGAGCTTGTTTTGTGTGGGGGAGTCATTGTTCATGCTTGCCAGGGTCATTTGGATTTTGGTGATGTTGTTAAGCATTGCTATTTTCTGTACAGGGTTTTTCACTAATCTGGTTCTGCATATTAGTGTCATATCCATACCAACTCCACCTCACCTCCGCTCTACTCCACCACCACTCCGGTCCACCTCCGGTCCATCCTCCCCCTGCACCTCTGCCATACCCTCCAGTTCACCTCTGATTCACCTCCACCTCCAATCTCCAGTACCTTCTCTGGTACCTCTCATCCTCATCTTAAACATTTATTAATATTTCTATCTACCCAATATTACTATGGACCTCCTAGGACCTCCACCACCCCTGCAAAGGTTTTCCCACTCTCCAGTAGCTGTCGCTAATTCCACCCTTCACCTACCCACTCCACAATGCTCGATAAGGTGATTCTCTCACGAGCTCACCAACGTGGCAAGTGGGTAAGTCCCCTTGGGTTTTCCCCTTTGTTCTCATTTGTCTTCTATTATGTATATAAGTCCTGTACTGTGGTTGATGGCACCTCAGTGCAAAATCAACAAGACTATCCCCCAGAGTTCATGCCCCTTGTTCTGAAAGTTAAGGACCAAGCTCCTAAGCGTTACTGAATGTAGGCACAGCGCTCCCCTCCAAGTCACTGAGGCCACAGTCCTCCTGGACACTGCCCCTTGCCATGTACTTGATAATTAGTTTTGTTGCCATGGACTGTTTTAGGGAAATTAGGGAGGCACCACTTGGTATGTGGGGGAGGGGGGGCATTACAGGTGGGAGGGGGTTGGGAGCCAGTTGTGCTCCTATTGCAACAAGATTGTCTGCTTCTTCGTTTCCATGGATCCCAGTGTGGCCTTTTAGCCATTCAAATACGGTAGGGGTGAGTCTGGATCTTAATGCGCTTACTGTTAGTTTGGTGATGTATTGATTTTTGGCATAGGCATAGTCTGAGTCTTCTAAGGATTTGAGGTTGTCACAGAGGGTGCTGATGCACCACTGTGAGTTGGCCTTGATGTGGAGGTTGGATGATGGGGGTATGGATATTGTGGCATGGTGTATGGCCAGCATTTCAGCTGTATTATTAGATTGTGGGAGATGGGGGTTGATTCTTTGCTGGTATTTCAGGGGTTGTTTGGGCTGTGCCACACTCCGAAGCTGGCTGTGGCATTTGTGTTCCTGTTTAGGGAGCAGGATCCGTCCATGTATGCTATCTCATTGTTAGGTTGTGGGAGATGGGGGGTGGGGGTGATTGGGAGTTCTGGGGGGGGGGTCTGCCGAATACCCTATAGTTGTCAGGGCCCAGGGGGATCCTCCTAGTCGCTGGGGTATCTAGTCCCAGTCTGAGATCCTCAAACTCACTGAGGGGGCTAGCCCCAGCCTTCACAGGAAATGAGAAGAAGGGTAACCTTCTCAACCTCCTGTGAAGCCACTACTACAAATGGGAGCCAGGAACTATACAGTTTTCGGCTCTTTGCCGACTTTCCATAAATGGCACCCCATGGTTGTGGCTGTGATGGTTTCTGGGTGAGTAACTCACCCAGAACTTTCCCACGAGTCTGCATGCGTGCAGGATTGTGGAATAGTGAGGGGAAAAATAGGGGAAAATGGGGGGAGGGTACCTGAGGGTGTGTGGGGTCAGGGGCTGTGCCCTGACAATAGTGGTGGTCGAGTGGCATGCAGGAAGTGGGGGCCAGGTGGAAGATTTTCATGGCCATTGGGTCCCCAGCTGTGTGTTGTCTGGCCATTTCTCTGGGGTTGCAGTCCAGTTGGGAGAGGAGGTGTGAGTCACTGTAGGGGTTGTAGTGGGGGTCAAGGTTTGTTGTTTGGATGATTAGATCACTGACCCATTTGCATCCATGAGTTGCCCTCAGGCAGCATGCCGGTTTTGAGCAGTTACTGATTTGGGTGTTGACTCTCAGGCCTGGATGGGCCCAAGCTGGTAACTTGAGTTTGGTGTCTAGGTCGATTGTCGGGTTTTCTAATCTAAGGTTGTATTTGCACAGATATTTAGAGAGTTGCAGAGTTCAGCCGGGATGTTTCTTCGGTGGGTCCAGGCATCAAGGAAGGGTTTCTGGATGAGGACCTCTGTGATGATGGGGTATGCTGGGTTTTGGGGCTGTTGGTTTCTCAGGAGGGTAGCCATCAGGATTGCTTCAGCAGTGTCCAAGGCTGGGGGTCTGTTGGGTGATCTGTCGAGGATTTTTTGGAGTTTGATGAGGTGGATTGCCTTGTCCTGTCTTGTAAGTTTTACCACCTTGACCTCTTGGACTATTCAGCTGGTCCATGCTGATTGGGGGGGGGGGGGGGGCTGTCTGTGTTCCATATGAATTCACGTATTCTTCTGTTCAGGTTTCTTTCCACGTCTTTTGGCATTCCTTGGGTCTGGGTGTGAAATTGGGTCATACCTCTGATGGTCATCTGGATAATCAGGCATCTACCTTCGATGGATGGGTGGGTTTTGTTCCATTGGGTGAGTGATTTCTTGATGTTGTGTCAGGGTCGTGCGTGCTCGCAGTGAAGGATGCCCCAGAAACCTAATTGATATCAAAGCTGGGGGACATGCCCATCCCAGCACACGGTCATATATACACGATAGAGGCGGCAACTAGTCAACTAGCTAATAACTGGTAGTATTGGATCAAGAATGATAGAAGATCATGTGTCATCATAACCGACAGCCACAGATCGGATCAGATTGGAGATGAAGAAGAAGAAAAGAAGTAGAAGCTGATGGAGATACGGGTCATGTGGCAATGTGCTACTTACGCTGTAGGTGGGCACAGCTGGTACTGCACAAATGAACCGAATATCGTGATTTCCCCATCCCTGCACATCTGCACTTCACTAAACATGTCGTACACATCTGTCAGGGGACAACTCCCGGGTCCCCATGACCCTCCCTATGGTCCACAGCCTCTGGTCTGGCCAGCCCTATCCAGGGCACAATCCTACTACTACTGTGGGTAAGAAGATGAGAAGGAAGCTAACTTCTCATCTTCCCACAGTGGCCACCATATCAGGAAAACTTCCGGGGATACCTGGAAGTCACATGAAGGAGTAGGAACCGGGCCCGGAGCATGCGGCGCACGGAGCATGCATGCATGCGGGAAGCGCAGTGGGTGGAAGCGGGTCCGGACGCGGGTCCGGGTCCGGGCTAGTCAGGGTGTGTGCCCTGACAACATCCTCATATACCATTTCTACCCTTCCATGATTTTTTCCTATTTTTCCAGACACATTCCCAGTCCCCACAGACCAAATTCCCACGCCCACCCAGCAGCGCGGCCACACTCAGACTGGATTTCACCTATCTCAGCAACCACTGGACCGATTTGGACGATATTAGTAACGTTGGGAATGCGCCATTTAGGAGTATTAGGATCCATGATTAGCGGGAGTTGATTGGTGATGGATAGAGTTGGATATTTTTTGGCTGGAAATCA